TAGTATAGAATGGCGTGATCTAGTCTCGAAATAGGCTTCCATCATTAATTTTACTGCAAAGAAGCGTAATCTGAATGTGGTCTCATTTCAGTGTAATGTTTAACCATGGTTAACTTCATCGTAATCCATTGTAATCATCCACGCTAACTGAGCATACAGTGAGAGTGGTGATTTTACTCCCGACTTTCTCAGTTTTCTCATTGTAGGTGAACATCAGTGATCTCCATGCACCAGAAATGGCGACGTTACTGGCTAGGCATTCTACTGCTTGTGGTTGTAATTCTCATACAGCTCTACAGTGTGCTATTCACGGTTACCGTACATGGACGTTTTGTGGCGATTGAGAGCAATGGAGGCCGACTGGGTAATCAGGTGAAGAAAGTTTTCACACAAACATCGGTACTTCACGCCTTATATCGCTCGCTCTTACCCTTTAACACGAAGAGATTTTTTTCCGATACATTGAAATTTTTCGGATGGACGGCCGTGTTGAGCGCGCGCACTTTCCTTATTTCTGAGGTGGGTTTTTCAGGTTCCCTGTAGTTTTGGTTATCTTTTCATTCTCATCAATCATATTGTGTTTAACTTGGTCGGCAGTTCAAAAACGATAACCAAAACTACAGCAAACCTGAGAAACCCACCTCAGAAATAGGGAATGTGCGCGCGCTCAACACGGCCGTCCATCCGAAAAATTTCAATGTATCTGAAAAATTTCAGTACGTTAAAGGTAAAAAAAGCATAGTAACCGACAAACATTAGGAACAGTTAAGAAAACAGTGGCAGGAAGATTGAAAAAAAATAAGCTAGAAGCTAACGGGAGGAGAAAGAAGGAGAAATAAGCGAATACGGCTGTGAATTAGCATCCGTCCAGTCGATTTTTGCATTGGAGCGCGATCTAATCAGTCGCGCTACACAATCGTACGCTCGCACGAGCGACGCGATCATACGCTAGCTCGATCGTTCGCTGGAACGCGCGACCGAAGCACCGCCGTCGCGAAGTCTGAACGCTGCCTTAAGGGTACCGTTGGGAGCAAATCTGCGAAACTACGACCTGCCACTCTTCCCATCCCGGGCCCTACCTACATCTTCCTGATCTTCTCAATCTACCACCTCCTTTCTGGATATTTTTTTACTATAGCTCCTCAATTTTTTTACCCAAACAACTGGCGTCGAGCAGGGGGGAGGGGGTATATAGCGATTCTAAAACAAGAAAAAACCAGGAAAGTTTTCCCGGTGGCGAATGTGACCTCCTCGGTTCGACGACCAAATATGACCACTCGCCGAAGATATCGAACGAACGACCTGCCCCGGTAGCCAAGTGGCGCATCAACGAGCAGGCAATTCGGCCTTTCTCTCTGTCTACTCGATCACGGCGTGACATGCACTCAACCACTTGGTCTACGTGTCCAATAAAGAACTCGGAAATCTACACTTCCAACGGTTCCATTATGTCCTGACGCACACTGTTGCTCAGAGCTCACTTTTATTTTGCAAGATTTTATATAAAAATAGCATAAATTTTGCTACTAGTCACCTCTGTTGGATAAGCAGTCTTTCAGTTATTCCATATATGTTCTGGCCATGCGATAGCCCGCAAACTTGGGCGGCGTCAATACATTCGGACACTGGTCAGCCAAAATTTCTACATAGGTAATCACTTAGCAAAGATCGAACAAATATTCCCACGTTTTGTGGAGACATTCACAGTTATGGTGAGTTTCTGGCACTTTTCCCACACCCCGTGAATACTTCAGACCTTTTTTACTGAGAATGAACAGTTTCAGAATGTATGGAATGAACATAGGATCCCATTCGCTCAAAGGAATGGACAGATGAGCTGCTGTGAGTATGAGGATCCGTCCAGGTTTGAGATCACACTTATTAGTCAGTTTTCTGTTGTCTAGAGAAAGTCCGTCTGAAAACACATATGTAGGACACCACTTTCGCCAGTAGGAAGTCCACAAAGACGGAGCTGAATGTTCGCTGTGCCTTCCGTCTGCCATTCTGTGCAAGCAAGCCATAGACACGCAACACGCCACACAAACAACAATTAATGCTCGATTTTACCCACATACGCTACTCGTCTGCGCCTTGTTACGGCGCTCCACAGCTACAGAACGTTCGGCGCATTGCCTTGAAATAGTAGGGGAGAACTGAAGGGTGAGCGTTGCCTAAGGCAGCGTTCAGACTTCGCGACGGCAGCGCTTCGGTCGCGCGTTCGACGCGATCGATGCAGTCGAAAGCATGCGCATCGATCGTCGAATCGCGCGACCGAAGCGCTGCAGTCGCGAAGTCTGAACGCTGCCTAACAACACAGTCTGGTACCCTCTTTTCCGCCTATGCTTTCCCTGAACAATAGCAGCCTGGTTGTACAGAAAGTGTTGCTAGATGACGCCACCCTCCCAAATTTTCCATACTATCTCGAAGCAATAGCGGCCGGCGCCAATCCATTCCCGTCTGTAGCTGCGTTCTTTCTTCTAGCACTGGAGCGGTGTTCCAGTGATATGTGTACAGCGCGCGGCCGCGCATCATGGCTATACCTATTGTACTGCGTGCTCTTAAAAGACTCCTTGCTCAGAATTGAGAGTACTGCAGTGCGAGTAAAAAAATTGTAAAAATCATTCGTAAAAAGAAAACCTGTTCAGTTTTTGTAGGCAAACCCACGATTGTATGTTCTGAATAGTGGCGCTCACACAAGCCTATAGTCAAATAACTATCCAGGGAAAAAAGCGAAAAACCATGGAGAACACCCTAAGTAACAAGTGGCAGCCTCTCTGGACGAGTTCTTCGGACCTGCTTGTTTTATACCAGTCAAGCGATATCCTGCCGTCTGTAGCCAACAATCGTTTCTCCGTGTCATTCAATACTAACACCATTTGACAACGAAAGAAATGGAAACCGTGGTGTAACCTTGAACTTGTGACACGGAATAGCATTCGAGTTCCGGTGGGCGGGACAACTAGGGAGGCGTCAGCGATGCAACTTGTGAGGGCCACAGCGCCTTCGTTACATACTGTAATACTGCGAAAGCGGGGTAATCTTAGGGACTGAAGGTCAGACTTTGCAAAGGAAAGGACGTTTACCAGTGGCTCGAGCGCGGGGACTGTATTTAACACGTTGACGACGAGCCGTTTTTTTCATGAATTGCCCGTGGGACGGCACGTTTTTCTTCGTAGAAACTTAGTAATTTTCGAATAAATGAATGGCTCAAAGTGTTTCAAGAAATGCAAGATACGAGTATACGAATCTCGAATCTTTGACACAATTTAGCTTTTATTGCTCCAATCTTCCAAAACCAGGCCATTTTTTACCAACTTCTTCCTCTGGAGGCAGATTTGGCTGAAAATTTGCCTGCCGGGGTAGTTTGACCTCCTAAGGATCATTATTGCATCGCCTTGGCCCAGAATGTTTGTTCTTGGACTAATTTTATGAAAAGAAAATGAAACAGTTGCGCAGACGATGATTATATAATAACTGTCGCATAGCATTCGTGGACGCCGCGCCCATAACACAAAGTGGCTTTCGTCCACCATCTAGGGTACAGTATTGGATGTGCGAAATGTCGTGTGAGTACGACCCCCCCTCCTCCACCTCCACGGCTTTATGGGGGGGGGGGGTACACAATAACTATGCAACGTATATGCGTACAGAATGCATATAGTGCATTAAAACAAAAAAATTAATACGACCCCCCTCCCCTCCCCAGAGCAAAAGTAGAGCAAAAGTACGACCCGCCACGGGTTGACATTGACACAACGATGCCACCATTGACGGAAATCGTCGTCAACGCATTAAGTGGATATGATATTCTTGTTTAGGGGGTCGAACTACCCCTAGGGACAAATTTTCAGCTAATTTGGTGATTTACGGTATTTTGGCGCCGGCGCCTTTGGCGCGGGCGCCAGGCGGTCTCGTGGCAAGCGATTGTGATATTCGTGTTCACGGCGTCAAACTACCCCACGAGCCAAGTTTTCAACTAATTTGGTGATTTACGGTATTTTGGCGCGGGCGCCAGGTAGTTCGTGCCAAGCAGCTGTGGTATTCATTTCAGAGGGACAAGCTACCCCCCAGGGACACCTTTACGACAAACTTGGCTGTTCGTCCATCTTTATTCTTAGAAAATATACTGGCAGACACCATTGTCTGCCATCGTCCCATGAGACAGACTGGCTGTCAGCCACCATTGTCTGCCATCGTCGTCAACGTGTTAGGCACGTCAGAATTCGCGTCGGGCAGCGCTTCGGTCGCGAGTTCGACGCGAGTCGATGCAGACTGACGCAATGAGCATCGATCAGCCGAGCGCACAACCGAGAAAGCTGCCGCGCGAAGTCTGCAACGTGTTAAAGCACACTGCAAGGACTGATTCGGAATAAAGTACCACTGGAACTTCTTTCTGCCATACGTCATGAGAGATATATAGCGGATGCGTTTCGAGTTTCAGAGGAAGAACTACCATCGACGGCTCCCCCTTACCTTTCAAGTGGGCGACCTTTAAAATTCCAAATGTATGCAGTTGAACTCCTTGGAGGCAGAATTCAACGTTACCCAAGTGGGCTGAGAGAGCGAAAAATTATGCGCCTCTCCCTTCTGCAATTTGATTAGGTGGACCAACTGGCGCTGAGATAGAGACTAGTTTTAGGCAGCAGGACCCATAGGAGCAGTTTATAGCGTTGGAGTTTCGTCATGAAAAAGGGTGTAGTGGCTGAAGTGACTCCACCCACATGATCAGCGTGCAATGTGTTGAGCTCATTGACCTTTCCATCTATTTACCTGAGATTCCTTTTGAAACTGAGCCTGCGTATAGCGATACGAACTTCGTGTTTTATTCTGGCGCCGCGTTTTGCTTATAAGTTAGAGGCACATTCCGCGATAAATTGAGGCTAAAACCTCTCAAACGTGCTCGATGGCTAAGTGGGCACCGACAGCGGCTGCACTAAATGTAAAACTGGAAAAATGGCACCCAGAGCGCAGGGCGCTTCGTTTTTAGGCTCATGGGCCCCAATAGGGCCATGCCGGCGTCCGGTGCCCATGTCGTTGTGACACTGCCATTACCCTCCCTCGCCCGTCGTTTTCTGGCTTGTCTCGTCTCTTGTCAGCAGTGTATCCTCTCCTTTTGCAATTCATGATCTTGACCACCTTATGCTCGTCCGGTGATCACGATCAATTGCAATGAAGAGGGTCTTATTGCGGGCGGTTTTCTA